TGCAGGGAATCTTTGCAGGGAATATCTGTTGCTCTTGCACTTGTGATGGAAAATTAAGGGAGGTACACCTTTCCTTGGCAAGGTTTTACAGCATTACAAATCTGAAACCCAAATGCCTGAACAGGACTATAGTTTTCCTGATTTTCACTCTGCTGAATCTATTATAATTCTCCAGATGGATATTGGGAATTTGGATCCACAGTGCACATGAGAAGATCTTATCACACAAAAGTTAAAGCTTCAAGTCCCATGAAATTCATACAGGTTCTATTGGTTATGCAGAAAACAGGCCATAAGAGCACTTTGCAATTGCTCTGCAAAGGCTAAATGTAACCTTGGGAGATAAAGGAAAACTTGGATAGAATATAAAACAGCTTCTAATCTTTTAATCTAATCTAAAGCATGACTGAATCACTACCAATTATGTTTTCAAAATTCCCTACAACATTACATTTTTTTTTAAATAATGAAGCTAAAGATGCATGGAACAGTAGGAGAAATCCACACTAAGCATAAATATTCCAAACACATATACACACACTAATAGTGTAATCCTATACATGTATGCTTGAAAATAAATCCTTTTAAGTTCAATGGAGTTCACATCCAGTTAAACAGATATAGAACTGGAGCCTAAAGGGCCAGTCCTGCCATTAATTATGTTCATTTGAGTGCTGCTGTTCCAGTGAAAATTATGCATGAGTTGAGAAGAATTCTTTCCCACAATTGTCTTCTGTGGCTACCTCTTACTGAATCACTGGATACACTACATATTCTCTGTGTGCATACTGAATATTTCCTACATATATTTGACACCTGGGAGCACTGGGCATTTTTACCTCTATGTCTGGAACTTCCACGTTGCTATTCAGCCACATTTAATACTTGTTGCACGAGGGTCTTCAGTACTGGGCAAGTCATCATCTTTGAGCTTTATTATTGTCAATCTGCTAAAACAAATAAATGAAAGAGATATGAATAGTTTACCTCACTTCTAGCATAGATTTTCACAGTCAACTTTCATTTTTCAAATTTCAGATATTATTTATCAATTTAGATTTGAAAGGTGAAACTTCATAATACTAGAACCAGGTGTCACCTGCTGAAGATCAACAGTGAGAAAGGAAGGATTTCTTCATATAGTAAATCTGTGAAATTAATTGCTAGAACATATAGAGATGGCTGCCAATCTGCACAGCTTTTTAAAAAGGGATGGATACATTCATGAAGATTAGTGCAGTCCATGGCTACCAGTGGGTACATGAAAGGTACATATCACCTCCATTATCAGACACAATATGTCTCTATAGTACAGTTGCTGGAATACAATGGACAGAAGGTGCAGTTGAGGTTAAGTTCTGTTGGCAGGCTTTTTCATAGGCAACTGGCTGGCCACTGTGTGAACAAAATTTTGGACTAGCTAAGCCTTCAGTCTGATCCATCTCTTTCTATATTCTTATACTCAGAAGAGCATAAGAATGGCTCATCTGATATTCTGATGCTCAACAGAAGAGCTAGCAAGGAGACTAGTAATGCTAGCCTGATCCCATAAGAAAAAAAGATAGTATAATTTTTATCATTTGTTACACAAACAAAAAAGAAAGAGAATCCTTTTTTTCATCCAGTTTCATATCTTTTGGAATGTGAAATATGATCCTATTTTTATACTTGAAACTGTAGCAGTTTGTGAAGCCAGCCGAGAAGATCCATCCAAAAATGGTGAGAGAAGTCTGAAGTCTGAATGAAACTTTTAGTTCATTAATCATATGAACATCTTAAAGCATATAGACTGACAGAGAGAGAAAACAAAAGCCTGCAGTGCATGCAGCTGGAGTCTATTGAGGCCTGCTTCAGAATAAAGGTTGCTGATTTTGGTGTCTCTTTTTCCCACATAAGTATTCAAGTGATTAGATTCTGATTTTGTTTTTATGCGGTTGAAGCCAACAGTATGCAAGAAGGGGAATCCCTTGAGTTTCTGTGTGAGGAAGGGACTGTGTGATAAACTGTTAGAGTTTGTAAAATTACTTTAAAAATATTTTGCATTTACTATTAAAACTCAAAAGATCCCCCTTTCAGAAGTAGTTTATTGTCATTATAGTCACATATTTTTACAAAGTAATTATTCAAAAGTCAATAAATTGCTGCATCCTAGTTAGTTTAAAAACTCAATCAAGAAGCTGCAAGCCTATGGTATGGTACCCATTTAAGTAAGACGGCCAGCTCCTATAACCATAAAAATGATTAGAACAGTTATAATTACACCACAAAAAGAATGAAGATATTTCTCATGCCAATTGTAATGTGAAAAGTTAGTAAAGCTGAGAGGTTGTTAGAAACATCAAAACTGTTGCACACACAAAAATAGCTACTCGTTACAAAAGTTTTCAAAATAAATACAGGGCACCTTCCAGATGGGTGCTGAAGCTGGAAGATGGCTAGCCAGAGAGGAATACTTATATTCCTCACCTTCCTCACTATGAGAATGAGCAGTACCTTGGATAGTTTATTTAAAGTCTGAATTAAAAACCCAGAACAGATTCATTCCCCACTCAGCTACCACTAGTGAATCTCCAACAGTGATGAAAAACATTAGCCCTTGGGCTTTATTCATTTCTTTGCCACGTACAATCTGCAGATGATACAATATATGCTCATCACTTGATCCTCCTCATCCAGCTTCCATTAAATGTCCTATACACCATTGTTGTTGTTGTTCCTGTCATGTGCACAACAATAGCTAGCTCTGATTCCAGCACAAAAGTAACTTGATTGACGAGGCAAGTGCTTCACTCCCTGTGCCTGTCCTTTCAATAAAGTTGCTGTGGTCAGTGGGTGGGTGGGAAATGATATGACTTCCACTCCTTGTGTGTCCAGGTGAAATAAGAGACAGGGCTCCTGTACCTTTAATGACAGTGTAGAAGATAGAATTTCAGCAGATATTGTTTGCATGACAATCCACACTTGCTGAAATTCCATCTTCTGCATATTTATTAAAGGTATAGGAGCCTTTTCCCTTATTTCACTTGATGAACCTAACTACTTCAAATCTGCATCCTGAAAGAAGCCTCTCAGGTCTTGTCCCCACATACCATGTCTTCCCCCTGTCCTTCTGGCAATCAGTCTGGATAATGCAGGGCAAATTTGTAGCCAGAACACTCTAGGCTTCTCCTTGAATATCCATGACTGTACAGACACCACCTTTGTTTGGCTATTAGAAGATATGTCAGAAAGCTACAGTGAGATGGGTTAAAATAAAACATGCATTCTGATGTTTAACTTGTGATGGAATCATATTCCCTTTGAATTATAACAGCTCAGTTTGAGTTAAGCTAAATACTCATGACTGTTGAATGGGAAGAGAAAGATCACATAAGATGTTTCATCTTGTCAAACTCTCTGAAAGCACTATTTCCAAGAAAGGGGGGAGGGGGTAGAGACAATTCATGAAAGATCTACAGTGGAATTATGAAGACAGTTGGGAGGAGAAGGGTAAACAGTTTATAATTATTCAAATGAAATACTTTCTACAGTTTTCACTGGGAGTTGTTACTAGGAGCCCTTACATTAATATCAGAACCACAGACTTTTCTTTTTTATCTTATTCTATGTTTGAAGTTGGGAGGACATGAAACATGTCATAAGTTGAATGGGGTTTACAAGTTGAATGGAAAATGTTATTACTGTGTTTCCCAGAAAATAAGACACTGACATATTTATTTTTCCTCAAGGAGACACAGTATTATTTTGGTATTATTATAGACTTACTTGTCCTGACTCCACCTTGAAGTCATGCACCCATCAATGGGGTGCACAGAATCAGGGCACCCTCTTGGCACAGCGTGCATACATGCTACACCAAAAGGGTGCAAAAGAGCCACAGCAGAGGCTGAAAGGGCAGTTTTTTGCTGCCCCCAAAAGTAGCAGCTCTTTGACCTTTTGAACTGTGGCAGTGGCTCTTTTCTGGGCCACCCCTGGGAGCGGTGGATCCGCTGCTCCCAGGGGCAGCCTGGAAAAGAGCCACCACTGTGGCAAAAAATCAGAATTGGGGCTGTGGTGCGTGGTTGCCACAGCCCCAATCTACCACTCCCAGGGGTGGCCCAGAAAAGGTGCCCTGTCTGCATCAACCCTATGTCTTATTTTCGGGTATGGCTTATATTGCGCAAATGTTTGCAAATCCTACCATGGCTTATTTTATGGGTATATCTTATTTTGGGGGGAAACACAGTACTAGACATTTGCAGACAAATGGCTGAACTGCATATATGACAACATACATATAAAATGCATTTGGCCTAAATGTGATTGTGCTTACTTATATTTTAACTATAAGCCCCAACGGTTCCTGATCATCAATAGGTTTTCAACCTAGATGAAAATACCATTTTTATCCTTTCCTCAGATACCATTGTCTACATTAATAACCCATTTGAAGCTATCTTTGACATAAATGAAAAGCGTCTTCCCAACTATAAAAAAGCAGGTTCAGTAAAAAAATTTATTGAGACCTTCTTGAAGAAAAGAGAAAACATTTGTCCATGCACCACCTCCTCATCACAGTCCTCATCCTGATTTATTTCCCAAAACAAGTTATGGGTTTAATATACAATGTAATTTAATTAATTCAGGGGATGCAGTGGCTCAAGTGGTTAAGACACTGACTGTTGATTGCAAACTTGGCAGTTTGCGGCCTGGGTGCTGCATGATGGGGTGAGCTCCTGCCACTAGTCCCAGCTGCTGCCAACCTAGCATTTTGAAAGCATGCAAATGCAAGTAGATAAAAAGGTACCACTTCAGTGGGAAGGTAAACAGTGTTCTGTGCAATCATACTGGCCACATGATCACAGAGTAGTCTCTGACAATGCTGGTTCTTTGGCTTAGTAATGCAGATGAGCACCACCCCTTACAGTCAGACACAACTTTACAACCTTGTCAATGAGAAATACCTTTAACTTTAACTTTACCTTTAATTTAGGTCACTCAGGTCACCCAGTGGGTTTCCATGCCCGAGTGGGGATTTGAACCACGGGCTCCAGAGTCATAGTCCAGTGCTTGAACCACTACACCACATTGCCTCTCTGATTGACACTGTGTTACCAAAAAAAAAGAAAAGAAAAAGAAAAAGAAAAAGAAAAGTCTTCATGGATGACAGATAAAACATTTCAAGGAGTAAAGCACAGATGAGAAGCAAAAGGAGGCAGAACTACAGCCATACTAATGAATGTAACTGTCCAATGTGTGGTGAACAGGTATAGAGAGAACTCCTTCAATAATCAATGCACAGAAATAGAAGAGAACAACAAAAAAGGAAGAACAAGAGACCTCTTCCACATGATCTGAGAAATCAAAGGGAAATTTACACCAAGAGTGGGGATGCTTGTGGATAATGAGGGAGTTAATCCCTCACTCTAAGTGGGGGAGTTAATAAAGAGAATATCCTGAGGAGTATTGATAGCCTTAGAGGCTGGCTAAGAAATAGTGGTAAACTATTTTGGCTAAGAAATAGTGGTAAACTAAGAAATAGTGGTAGCCAAAGAAGGGCTAAGAGTGTCCTGTGGGGTAATTGAAAGTGCTCTAAGTAAAGGAGTATTTAGAGTATTATTATTTGTAACTGTAATCAATTATAAGAAGAGCAGAAAGACCAAGTGAAACATTGTTACTTGTATTGTAAATAAAGTTTTGTTGTTACTTTATGAAACACTTGTCTATAGTGTAAATGAATATCCACAATACTAAACCTTACACAAGATAAGTTATACCAAAGAGTTTTAGAAGATAAGGTTGATAAAGTAGTGGCTCTTTGCATAGGGTGGTGACAGCTATGGGACAAAAAGGGTCCATGGTGTGGCGACAAATAAAAGAAAAGAAAAAGTTATCTGACAATGCTTTACAATCAGCAAGGGTGCACAATATATGAGCAAGAGGAAATAAAAAGATGATGGCAAGAAAACACAGAAGGATGAAAGATTCATTTGAAGATGAGCCAAAGATAAATGTTCCATTTTAGAAAGTGAATTGAAAGCTGCATTCACTGTGGTAGAATAAATCACCAAGAACAGATGACATCTTAAAAGAGATGCTTCAAGTTACAGAAACAGAATTTACTCTAGTTCTAACTAAAATATGTCAACAAATATGGAAACAATAGTTCACAATTTGAAAAAACTCTATATACATTCCAGTCCCATTTAAAAGGGACACAAAATATTGTAGTGATGAAAGGATCATTACATTAATCTCTTATGCAAGTAAAATGATGCTCAAAATTCGATGTCAAAATCTTTTACCACACATAGAGTGAGAAATGCCAGATGTCCAAGCTGGGTTCAGGAAAGGTAGTGGTTGCTGTGCTGAGTAAAGGAGTCACTGAAGGAAAAATGATGAGGGAAGCTACAGAAAAGTGTTCTCTTTTTGCAGGAAAATGCACCTACTCACACAGCTGGGAAGAAAATGGATGTTTTGAAGAATATGGAGTTTGAATGCATAGACCATCCACCTTACTCACCACATCTTGCTCCATCTGATCATTTCCTGTTTCCAAACATGAAAAAGAGTTTGAAAGGAAAGAAACTTTTGAATGATTCAAAGGGGATAGCAGCAGCAGACTAGTATTTCAATGATCAGACATCATATTTTTTTTTCTTTTGGAAGAATTAAAGAAACTTAAGAAACAATATGTCAAGGGCATCAAACTTCAGAGTGAATATGTGGAATAGCATGTCAGCTTTATGGATTTAGATTCTTTCCTTTGTGATCAGGCTGAAAAGTTTTCAGCACCTCCTCATAATGATAGGGAAGGTAGAAGGAAGTAGGGAAATAGGAAGACCTCACTACAGGTAAATAGACTCAATCAAAGAAATCATGGCCCTGAACAGGTCTATAGAAGATAGAACATCTTGGAGATGTCTCATTTAGAGTATTGCCATAAGTTGAAGCTGACTTGAAGGCAGTTAACACACACAAATGTGTTTCCTTGCCCTTGTGAACAACGTATTACATCTTCTAAGGTTAAGTCCTGCGGATACTCAACATAATCTCTTATTACTCCTTTGAACTTAAATTCCATGTCCACTGTGCCTATTTTCTCACACCTAATTTTTCACTTACATTTCCTCCAATTTTCTTTATCACTATCTTTTTCTATTTTTCACTCTTTCTAAACTTTCCTTTTTATTTTATGCTTGTCCCTTAGATTTTCTGTGCTGTAGGACTTCTTCCTAATTGACTGCTGCTGCAAGAAATTTTAATCCCAGATAAACTTAGAACTTCTCTTTTCCTCTTGGAGCTGGTCTGTCAATAGTTTATCTTCATAAGAATTGCATAACATCACATGAGAGCAGTGTCAGAGGCTTCATTGCCACTAGCACAAGTCAGTATAAATAATTCAGAATACTCTGGTGCTAGTTGTTCAATAGAATCTTATTAACAAGTGGCTGCTTCCTTTTCCAGGCTCTAAAATTCTTATCTGAAACATAAGTAAACCTGACATTCAAAGACACTTTTCACACTGAGTAACATTATGCGGTTTGTATATGGCTTTGTCTTTTTGATGTGATGGAACTTTCATAGGCTGTTCCATGAAATAAGGGTTAATTTATTTTTAATTAAGTTTATTTAATTAAGCTTCACCCTGTTTTTAATAATTGAATCTCTAATGGAACTCAAAGCTGCAGGGAACCAAATCATCATTGCTACATGTAACGCTTAATTGGAAATGATATAACTTCACAAAATGAATCATTGTTATAGGGGATAAGATCAAATGCTTTGTGAAACACCCCTTAGATCTCATATCAGGGGGATCCAGACAAATGGTCCCTGGAAGATTTTGTTACAGACACCTCTTCATTACTGAACAATTACTCACAACAGAAAGTACCTAGTCAGGATAGAGACAGTGCCAATACAGATGCCAAAAAATAGTACAACAAAGCAAGCAAGGAAACAATGATAAATAAGTTGTGGTACTGAAGAGACTGTAGCAGCTTTGACCATATTCTATCTGAAAGACAGTTTCTGTCCCTTTAAGTATATTGAATAGGAAAAGTTATACAACTGCTGTACCATCTGTCATGACATTTGCTGTAGAAAAACATTTCTCGAATGTACCTTTCTGTGTGTTTTATCCAAGGTGGATTACCCACCAATTCTCTTGGTTTTTTTAAGCCCAGTGTATGAAGAAGAGGTTCTGTTGTGGAGAGATGGACTCAGCAAAAGTTTAGAGTTGTATGTTTCATCTGACAAAACCCATAGAAGGGGGTTATTATTTGGAAAACAGTTGCTACTAGTTGTACAAAGACAGAAAATGATTATAGCTGAGCTGAAGGGTCTCAAATAAAATGTTTGCCTTGAATGTGAGGGTAGTAATGGCCATAGCAGTCAAGACTTTTTGCCAACTCTTTCTTCGTTCTTCAAGTTCAGCCTGTGCTGATTCCAGACAGATTTTTCACAGACTTTTAGACTATTTGGTGCATTTTTTCCAGTTGGAAGCATTAATGAACACATACCATTAATGTATCGATGAAAATGCATGAACTCATGCCTTTTTGTGCCATTTATGCACATTGTATTGTTTGTGGACTTTTCAAAGCTTTGCACATTCTCAAATGCATTTCTTTTCTTTGTGGAATGCTGCACAAGCCTATAAAAACAAAGGTTTCCAACAATAAATTACATCCGTTTCTCTGTTTGGAAAAAGGGGATTAGTTACTTTTATAATCTTATATTCATAATCTCATCACTTTTTAAAGAAAGTTAAATAGTAATGTTCACTAGGAGATATCATTTCTGCCCCTTCCCACTTTCCTTCACAACAATAATTGCATATGGTATATCATCATTCTGGATGTGTAGACAAAGGAAGTGGCAGCATTTGGGGAGAACTCTAAAACTGTCTTGTCTCTCATTTTGTCTCTTATTTCACAAATTCTATCTGATACTATAACAAAATAAGAATAAACCCCCACTCCAACAGGTTTATTCAGAGCCAGCATGCTATAGTAGTTTGAGCTGTGCTTCCAGAGAGCAGGGTTTCAATCCTCACTCAACCATGGAGACCCACTGGGTGACACTCCCTCAGGAGATTATCACATGGGAGGGACAGCATCCTTCTCCCATCCTCAAACTCTGCTAATCGCATGATCGGGGATCACACACCAGCACACTTCTCCCATCCTTCTTCCATAAGTAAAGTGTCATGGAGCTGTCCACATGCACTTCTCATATCTGTAAAGTGTCATGGAGCCATCATTTGGTATTAATGGGAGGAGGAGGAGAGAAAACCCTGTGATAGGTTTGCCTTAGGGTCACCATAAGTCAGAAATTGCTTGAAGGTACACAGCAAAAACAATAGATTGTTTGTGTGTGTGTTTGTTTGTTTGTTTGTAAATTATCACTCAAAATGAGACATACCAGTTTGGACCACCTTTGAAAACTTTTGTTTTTCACTTTACTCTTGAATATTTCCAGAATCAAGTATTTTCTTGAATACATCAAAGTACACAAGTGCACATTCCTGGATCTTACCTAACTTTGTTCTTTTAAAATAGATATCAGAAAATAAAATACTCACCAGCAAATGTGTTGATTCCATGAAAGTCCTTTCCCTCTTTACTTAATACCAAAACCTGAAGTTACAGCTTGTTCTGGCCTTTAATTTTACAAAATGCATATATTCCATAATCATCAGAACAGGAAGGAATGTCAAGGGCAGATGCTGTATCAGCCCAACATGATTGTTATGAATCCTTTGTAAGATGTCACAAAACTCCCCTACTTTGATCATAATTGCTCACTGAAATAAAAGCTGACACAAATCCACTGTGATGATCCCTTTTCTGCAAAATCTCTGAAACAGTTGCCTGACTTCAAGAGTAATCAGCTTTGATTAACAAGTTGGTGGATTTTCAACACTTAAATGATTTTTTTTATTTATTTAAAAAAGAACACTTGCTAACAATCTTGACATAATATCAGAAGTTCATCCTTCATATAGCAAAAAAAGCACATTGTTTTTTTCCAGAGTTACAAAGGGCCTCTGCAGACGGCACAAAGCAGCATCTTGGAGGCAGGGAAT